CATAGTTTAAGTCAGTTATCACTTCCTTCACAAGGAAAGCAAAACTCGAAACTGATGTTGTCTCCTTCACACAATGTGTGCTCCTTGTTGACCAACATTTTTTATATTTCTTCACCACAATTTGTGGACTCTCTGGAAATGTGAAGAAAACCTTTTGGTTGGACTGACAGTGTTCCCCGGATGTCTAACCTTGCTGGGGTTCAGGAGTGTGCTCTCATCTCTACCATTCATCATACTGCTTTATAGGAAACTTTTTTTCACTCACATGAGGTGTTTCGATTGCAGCTTGATTGGCTCCATCTTACTAACCACCTATTCTACCTCTAACATTTGCCAGGTTCAGGACTCATTTACATCTTGGATCACTTGACCCCCAGGTCTCCTCTATTATTACTTTCTAGACACTGAGTCAGTCCTGAGATCTAAGAGGAAACAGATGCCAAGACAGCAGCTACTGAGCTCTCTGCCTTCAGCTATCTGCACCGTTACTCTTTCGTTTTCCTTGTAATAAGAAAAATTTAAATACCTATCTAACAAAACAAGTTTTATCCAAATATTATATAAAATCAGTTGACGAAATTAACGCAAGTATTATGAAAACAGGAACAAAGGCTCTTTGTGTTCTGGAAGTGAACATACAACATCCAAGAAAGCAACGCAAAGTGGCAAGAAAGAAAGCGGGTGCATGAAAGAGAATCTGTTGATAAGATTCAATTTTACGCAATCAGAACAGTTCTCGAAATGAATTCCAAAGCTCCAGGAATCAAAGCTCCAAAGGAAGGAAGGTCAGGAATAGAAATTGAGTTCAATAATGTTTTCCGGTCTAGGACACTTAAAAAAATTAACTGTGTGGTTTTTCCAACTGTGGTATAAATTATACCTATATAGACTTCAATCTACCATACAGCAAGCATTAGCTGATTTATGAAGTGACTTATTTTGCCAGAGTCAATTCCTAATAAATGTGTCATGAGAAGCTGTGTATCTTCTCATATTTTACCACTATTGCCCTGAATGGAAATGACAAACTTCATGTTCTGTGCAGCATTCATTCACTACAGTCATGAAACGTGGAAACAGACAGTAATTAAGTGACACTGCATCTGTTTGAACAGCCACATTTTCATTGGCTTGAGGTTACCCTTTCATTGTTTTTAGGGAGGGTGTATAGCAAAGACAATTGTATTTAGGTATCCATTCAGATACCCGCAACACCATCAGTCCTATCTCTTGGCTGGTTTGTGACTGTCCAACCAGAAGCATTGCTTAGCCTAATATTCAACTATGTGACAATTCAGCTAAATGTTCAAGGGCAGAATATGAGGAGAACTGGTATTTATGATCCTTAGATCATCCTTCTTTCTCTCACTCCCATCCCAGTGAGCTAGAGTCCAGGCAAACTGTAGTGAGCTCAGGTACACATTATAGGGGATAACACTGGGGTAAGGCATGTGAGGTAGTAAAGGGGCCAGAAAATATGAGGACAGTGGATGATGTCTCAGATCAGACTTACTATCTTTCTCTGGCTCTCTGAAAACTTCTGAACTATACCATGTTAGAGATACACACACTATCTCATTCAAACCACTATAACTTACTATGGCAACTTAGAGCTTCCCTTGAATTCTAAGGGCATGGTATCTTCCAGCCCTCAAAAGAGTGCCTCTTGTGAGGTGAAGTATTCATTACAAACTCTCATATCTATGACTTGTTATGCGTTCTTGGTTGTGTGTACCCATCACCACACAAAGAGCTCCAAAAGAGGACAGAGTGTTTCCTTCACATAAAACCCACAAAAATTTAAGAATTACCAGTCTATACAGAGAACTGCTCTTGTGGCCTACAGGTAGCCCCATGAGAAATTTTACTAAAATACTAAAAGTGAGCCTGGCCAGATGATTAGTCAATTCAACTTTTAACAAGTTATCTTTGCATTGAACGGAGAATTCCAGCTTGTCCTAAGACAACAGATTTTCATGTAACATTTTAAAACATTATAACTGTTGAGTCAACAGAGCAGCTAGACCATTCCTCTCCTCTACTCATAGCCCAGGGGTCACTCTCTCTTTCCATCGGTACTGGTTCCTTCACTGTGTGCTATGGTTCTAGCTTTGACTCTCCTTTCAAAAGAGACATCCTTATTACTGACTTATGCAAGCTACCAAAGACTAATAGTCTAACCAATAGTCTAACCCAGCTATGACATCTATGATCCACAAAAATGACCAGCCCGGCAAGACATTCTCAAGGGTACAATTGTGACATTTATTTCTTAAGGCTAACCTACAGCTGTCTACTTGAACATAAGGAACACTCGATAGGACAGAATCCATTCCTAATACTATAATCCAAGCCAACTACTGATTACTGGTGAGCCAAAGAATCTTGAGGAGATTGCCACTTTCCAAAACCAGTATACTTCCTAACCATACTCTAATCATCTTTATGACCACAGATAAGTGGAGTTTTCACCTTTTATCAAAGAAGCTCCTTTTTACATCAGATGACAGAAAGCCACAACTGGTTAAAATGCAGAGCTCAACTGACTGTGTAATACCCAGCCATAATTGATACATCTACAACACAGCCCCTATACCTATGACTGGGGGTACATTACAAACCAAGTGAAAAAGAAAGGTTGTTAGAGCCAGAGAATCATGATGCAAGCTATAAGGTAGTATATCTGTGTGTGTGTCTGTGTGCGTGTGTGTGTATGTATATGTACATATATATGTATATATGTATATATAATATGCACACTATGTATGTGTGTGTATGTTTAGATGAATATGTATTTGTATATTATGGAAGCTTTAGCTATTAATTAAACCTCAATAATACAAAATATCAAATAAGACCTGCATAATGGCAATACCAGTTGACATGACAGCATGGATGAGAAAAGTGTCTCACAAAGTCTTACCCCTAGATGAAGAGATATATGCAATTGATGGCCCCCAAAAGAGTAAATCAGTATTCTCCATGGATAAATCCACTGACTCAATTCCAATGGTCTGTCTTAACACATTTACATATGAGCAACACTAAATGTACTCAGCATGTTCTATTTATATCTGCATAGTGTGTGTGTGTGTATGTGTGTGTGTGTATGTGTGTGTGTGCGTGCATGCGTGCACATGTGCCCATATGTTTATGCAAAAATAATAAAGAAGAAAAAGTTGTGAAGTTTAGGTGGGGATATGGAAAGAGTGGAAAGGGGAAAGAAACACATAGAAATTATGTGAATAGAATAAAATTCTATTTTGTAAGAATATTGTAACATTATCCAAACCTAAGTCATGTTATTGTGTTAATGTGTAGACTTGAAGTACAAAGTAAAATGTAGAAATGAATACTGTACATAGAAAGAAAATAAATATATTTCATATGTAGCTAATTTCAAAATACTTTCCAAACACAGAGCTCCCCAGTATAGGTAAGCCCAACCAGTCATCTGATTGCTGACAGCTTTCTGTCCTTGCATGCAAACGCTTTATCCAAATAGGTCAATATATTATGCATATTATATGTACTATGTAATGAATATCAGGAACATTGTGAAGAATGTTTGCCAAATATGAATCATGCGTTTATGCTTTATTAACCTATTAAAATCAAGGACGCTCTAGACTCTGTGCCTCAGTGAACAATGGCACACAAAGCCTGCACTGTGTCCTTCGTTAACATGAGCAATTAGAGGCTGGAGCTCATCAGGATGCAGAAGTTAATGGGTGCAGATGCTCGGGATTACTTATACAGACTAACTCAAACTTCTTCAACAGACTAACTGCTATTGTTTCTAGCTTCAAATACTAAACGTGTTCTTCTTTTGTTCATAATGCTACAACTTCTGTTCTGCTCTGCACTCCTTTTGAAGTAACAGGCCCTAAAATAGGGACGAGGCTTAGGCTTATGTAACATGATCTTCTTTGACACACTGAATCAGATATCAACAATCTCACCAAACCACCGAAGAACTTTTCATATATGATACGAATTCTCACAAAACAAACCGCCTACACAATGTATTTCATATTTTCTCCTAAATCTGAACGATCACCCTAGAGAGCTGTGGTCTCTGCAAACATTACTTACTCTCACACTTCATAAACCTAGCTTCAAATACCACAGTCAATCTTAGAAGTTATATCCTCTCCATTAACTCCATTAACACTTAAATTCCAACCTATGAGTCTAATTTTAAAGCCATTACATCGAAAATCCTTCTTAAACTCATATCTTCTCACATTATAGTAAAAAACATTTCTCGACTTACGGACTACTTACTGAAATGTCCACATTAAATGTTTAGGAGATCTGTCTTAGGGGACAATTTTATTCTGACGTTGGCTGTGATACCATTCAGTGCTCTTTCTATCCTTGAAAATATGACAGATTTCTGCCTAGAGGTCACAGGAAAATAAACAAACAAACAAACAAATAAAACCACACTTTTATACCTGTGATGTCACAGATTAAACATGATGTGGCACTGATGGCTGGAATATTTATGAGTTCTAAAAGGTCCTATATTAAAAGTATACATTTTTTTATCTTCCTTCCTAGTCTGCTGCTCATCTTCCAAGATGGTATTTAAATGAGTTAAAAAGAAAACAGGATCCTTCTACTCAGAGTAAGGCAAAATCTGTGTAGTTCTCCCAGAGGTGGATTAATAAGGCTTGGACCTCATAGTATTTACTCAGAAGTCTGGATCTCTGTCAGTCAGTTCTACTGTGCAATGCAAAACACCCCATGAGAAAGACTTCCCAGATCAAGAATATAGCAAAGTAGATCCTATGCTGAAAAACGCCAACAACTAAAACTCATATCTCTAATTGTTATTATGCAAATTGGATTCTGGTTTAATAGTAAATAAATTAAGAGACAGAGGAGAGAGTGAGTGCACATCGGGAGAGGTGGGTATGGAAAGGCAGAGACAATGTCTCAAAGAATTCACTTCATAATACACATTGAGTTAAATCTTCTCAGGAAGAAATTACCTGAAATGACACCACAGGGATGGCGGTGAACAGCTGAGTTCTCTGTGACTTTTTCCTCTGTGGACCTTTTCTGCCTGTATAAACGGTGTGGGTGACCTATGATGGCCATTGTATCATTGAATGGCTCTATGAATATGAAGTCTTCATTGAGTTGTATAAAGCCCATCTGGAACACATAACACACATACACACACACGCACAAAAAAAAAGATATGTAAGAAATACCATCGAGAAATTGCTTTTCAGATTCCACACCCACACTCTGTTTTCTTTAACAAATGTGCACACGGACTCCTTGCAAAGCTATTTTTGAAGCCCCACTAGGAAGCCAGCCACCTTCTCACAGTATGACTTCATCTTGATGCACTTACTGCACTAGCATAAACTCCGTTTAGTCAAGTCTGAGCCCGTGTGGGTGGGAGGCAGGACGCCAGCAACAGATGCACAGTAAAAATTCCGGAATGTTAAAGACTGACTTTGAGAGACCCATGGGGTCGCTAACATGAACAACGTGTCCAGCGACAGCCGGCAGCTTTTAATTGCAGGCACAACACGGTCCAACTTCTTGACAACCTCAACTTAGTGAAGTAATCCATGTAAAACTCTGAGGCAAATGACAAGGCACAGCATTGAAATTAACACAGAAAAATTACATAGAAACTAACACAAAACACTTTAGAAACTTTTCAGAATGAATCAGAACATTAGCAAGTTAGCTTCGAGCACATAGAATTTTAGATTTATCTCACTGGGCTGGTAAATGGAAACACTGTAAAACATAGTCGGGACCAATACAAATGATCAGGTTGTATTTTTGTTATATGTGGAGGCTAGCCCTCAGCACATGATGTGTTCCCTTCTTGAAATATAAACTGCATTATGACTAGAAAAATACTCCACACAGAACTGTCAGAAGTTGGTCATTCAACATTTATTATTTAAGTCTATAACCCCACCTATAAATAACATAATATTTAACAATGTTAACACTTTAGCAGGCAATTTTTATAGAAATAACTTTCCTAAAATATGAATTATTTAACCCAATTCTTTTTTGTATAATGTTTTTAATTCAGCTTCATATAGCCACATGAAATGGATGGCTCATTTTAATTTGGTGCACTTATATAGGTACCATAATAATTTCTTCAGAAAGAATAATCTTTCCAAACAGGAGATTAGTAAGAACTACATTTGCTCTGAAAACAAACTGTATTTTCCTTAGAAGACCATGGGACATTTTTTAAAATACTACATATGTGTTGTCTTAAAATATTCATGGCTTTTTTCCTAGTAGATAGCAAAAGATCAACTACATATAAATTAGTTAACAAACTACTTAATTCAGAACTAAGGGTCTATATCTACTTTCTCCATTTTTGCAGCTAATTACTTCAAATGTAATTTTCGCTTCATTATTAGAGGGCATTAATAGAACATCAAATGTTCTATTAAGAAACATGAAGTGATAAGTATATACTACTTCATTTTATTCTTTATCAAATTCCCACTGCAAGATACTCCAGAATAAATAAAAGTCCTAACCAGGTTTGAGTTATTCAAACAATTAATAAAATTCTGAAAAATTATTATACAATCCCACCACCTCTCTCTGTCCTTTCTTCTCAATCCAGATTTACCACCCCAAAAAAACACTAAGAATAATTTTTTTATATATAATAAGTCTTTAGAATGGTATGGGTGTATATAAAAAATACATTTCCACATACACACATATACACACACGTCTCTTCATTTGAATTTTAAAGTAATTACATGGACTGTTAAAAATTTTCCCTTCCTTTGAGGATAAAAAGAGAGTACAACATAGAAACACACAAGTTAATACACATTAAAGATATAAGTCAGCCGGGCATTGGTGGGGCACACCTTTAATCCTAGCACTTGGGAGGCAGAGGCAGGCGGATTTTTGAGTTCAAGGCCAGCCTGGTCTACAGAGTGAGTTCCAGGACAACCAGGGCTACACAGAGAAACCCTGTCTCAGAAAGAAAAAAAAAGATATAAGTCATCTGTACAAAATGAGACTCGGTGGTGCTGAATTAGAAATTGACGTGCATGATGAAGTGGGGAAGCGCTGTCCTTGGGTCATAGGTTCATATCGCATCCGTACTCACTCACGCTTTCCAGCCTGCAATGGCACTGCAACCGATGGGTGAGTCATGATGTTACACATCTCATGCGAATGTGCCAAGTTCACTTAAATTCTGAGTTCATAATCTAAGACACTCTCCACAGACTCTAAGCTGCTAAATTTGTAACAGTGAGCCCTAAAAAACTAAACTACATGTAGTATCAATCTAAGAATAGATTCTACAATTTAATTTTGGAGTGCAATGACTTATTACTAGCAATGGGGGTTGTAAGAACGTTACTGTGAATTCACATACACGGAGAGAGAGAGAGAGAGAGAGAGAGAGAGAGAGAGAGAGAGAGAGAGAGAGAGAGAGAGAAAGAGAGAGAAAGAGAGAGAAAGAGAGAGAAAGAGAGAGAAATAGGAGTATTTGAAAACACAGTGAATGTCCTTATCCTGGGGTCTGCTTCTGATTAAATACTCTATACCTGCTCCCTGTTGGTTTTACTCCAGTAATTATGACACATGTACTGAATATAAGTACTCAAACATTACATTCCACATTCCTCTGTCAGCACACTAAGTATAGCTTGAAATGTATATTTTTTTTCTGTTACATTTTGTTTGGCTAAGGATTAGAAACTATAATATAGACTCCCTGGGGCATTAAAACTTTATCTAAAAACATTTTTTTTAAAAAAAACCAAAATGGCCACTTTAAAAAAGGAAAAGTGTTAGAATAATTATAAGGGTGACTCATTCATTCAGTGCACACCTACAGTCTAAGCACTGTGTGCCAGACCTAGCTCCCTCTGAGGCACAGTTAGCACCAAATGTCAGACTGGGGACATTCCACGAGAGACCAGAAACCCATGCCATGACACACAAGTGTTGCAGCTTTGGTCCGTATCCTTCAAGATGCCAGCTTAGATTAAACCTCAGGTTTTCTGTGTCCTCAGAGAGAGGTTTTTATTATTATTTTTCTCTACTAGCAAAATATATTGCTTTATCTATGCTGTGGCTTTACAAGCTGTGAAAAACTACAAGCCCCTATTAACCTCTCTGTACAGTGTCCCAGTGTTCAGCAGACTTTGCTTTAGTGCTAGCATAGAAGAAAATGAACATGCATGTGAAATAGCAGCACAGTGTGCCGCTGTGGGGCCATCACTTCTGTCCTTTCCAAAATTACTTTGAAATACTGAATGATACTATCAGATAATGAATTTAAGGCTTAACGTGGTTCCTATCTTTATTTCTGTTATAATGTACACTTACTGTTGATTATTTGATTTCGTGATTTACAAATTTCAGGGAAATGAGGCTATTGCTCAATAAAATGCTTGCCACAGAAGTGCTGGTGGTGGCTGGCTTTGAACAGCAGAACTTACTTTAAAAAACTCTAGACAGATGTGTCCCTGAGGAGGCAGAGAAAAGCAGAATCTTAGAGGGCTCACTGCCCCCACAGCCCTGTCCAACTGGCCAGTTACAAACCATTGAGAACCCCTACTTAAAAAGTAAATAGTAGGGGCTAGACATATTGCTTGGGGATAAACTTCTTGGTCGATAAGCATGAGTTATCTGAGACTGGATTCTTCAGGATCTATGTAAAAAGCTGCAGTTGTAGCTCTTGCCTACACAACTCTAGAGAAAAACTTAGCATTGGGTAGGATGTCATAGGATGGGATAGACTGGCCAGTTTGCCTTGTTGAATCTGTGAGCCACAGATTCAGACTCCATCACAGAAAACCAGGGAGAAAGCAATAGAGGTAGATACCTAGTTTCGAACTGTGGCCTATACACACCTATTTTGAAATACACACACACACACAGAGGCACATGCATATGCATATATCTACCTACACCCACATACATGTATACAACGTGGATGGCCTTGAGGTTGTCTTCTGGCCTCTGCATACATGTATACATGTATACACACCTCTACACACATACCCACACATACATATATATATATAGCACACACAAAATTAAAAAAACATTTTTCAAAAGAATTTCAGGTTTTTTCAATTTAACATTACTTATGTGAAAATCAGCTGTTATTTCTTTCTTGCTGGTACCTCTGTGTCTTATGCTCAGGTCTTGTTTTGTAAGCTGTTACCTATATGGGTCTCCATTCAGGTATACCCAAACAGCTCCCAGCAACCCATGGGCCCATTCTAATTACATCAGAACATTAATCTGGCCAATGGTCATTGCTATTTAAACATTTCTGCTTCCATGAATCAAGTGCAACTCTTCCATTTGTTCAAGTGAATTTGAAGCTCCTTAAGAGATTAACAGATGTTAAGCATATCATGGAGACCTCACTAAAAACTTACACAGCCCAGAAGCAGTGTGACACTGTCTGCTTCCCCTGGGTGACTAAACTCCTTGCCACTTCTCTCCTAGCTACACACTACTCCCACTCTTTCATGAATCTGCCTCTTTCTTCCGTGAATCCTCCTCACACTTTTCTCTAATTTCTAGGTAAAGTTTCAGTGACGCTGTTGAATTTGTTGAGACTTTATAGCAAACACGGAGTAGTTACATATTCAGTGGTAAGTATTATGGGTATGTGAGAGTGTGTCATTAAAATGTGCTCTAGCAATTTCATCCCTGAGTATGAAAGAAATGAAATGAGTCAAGGCGAAATGTGCACTCCCATGCTCATTGGAGTATTGTTTGTATCTGTCAGTCTAAGTGTGCATCCGAGGAGGAAGGAATAAAGGCAACTTGGTATGTATGCGATAAATATGAATCAGCCTCAAAAAGAAGAAAATTTAATTTGTAGCAAGTTAGATGAATCAGGGGGAGATTGTATTAAGTAAAACAATAGGACAGAATATAAATATTATAAACACTAAGTAATTTGCTTGATATAGTCTTTCTTAATCTATTACATAAAATAATTATATATACATATATACATACATATGTATATATGAATTTAAAGAGTTGGGGATGATGAGATAAAGTCATTATAATTTCAGGATATACAAAGGGTCTTGAAGAGCAGAGGGTTTGGATAATAATGAACTGAGGCTGTTGCTCTTGGGGTGAAGTAGAGGGCGATG